TGTTTTGGGGCTGTCTTTTTGTGAACACTGCCTAAAGCAATCTTCCACCACTGCATTTCAATTATTTTATGATTATGACTCTCAGAATCCCTAATCAGCAAAGCTATCGGTAAAATAGTCCAGGGAAAGTGACTGAAAGTGAGAAGTATTTTCTTGGAGGACAAAACCGCCTTTTTAGTATATCATACTGCAGTAATTGATGGGTTGCCTTTTTGCAATAACTCATCTTCCTCATCAAATTTGACACTATATACATTTCTACTACAAATCACCCTTTTTATGTATAAGGATAGTATGTTTTTCTGGTTGCTGCTGCCTATTCTGTTCTCATCTCTAGACTGTAAACCCTTTCAGGCAGGGCCTATGACCGCTTCTTGGTGGAGGGTCACTGACAAGTCACTAGGATTACATTTGGATGACACATTAACGATACAGTCTGTGATTAGCTGTGAATGTGCCTGATCAAGCCATCTGGCTACCTGTGTCCTACCTTTGAGGTTATGCAACTCAGCATTATCTGCTGCTGGTTTACTGAAGAATTACTGGGTACTTTGCTTTCAACCCTTGCAAACTATGGAAGGAACTTAAAATGATAGGTTATGCTAGCATCACACTGACGTTACCATTAGAAGAAAAACCCAAAGCGCTAAAACAGGAGCAATTAAGACATCAACTCATTTTGCCTTAGCCATTCGTCATAAAAACTAAAAAACCCGACCCGCTAAGAACAAGAAAATTAATAACTTTCAAAATGTTTAAAGGATCTAAAAGAAAATAAGCAGAGGTAAATTACCTCTTAGGAAAGAATTCCATAAATACTTTTCCACCTTTGATAAGTTCCTGTCCATGCCTGCCTGCTTGGCTCTCAAGGCCACCAGGCTTATGAGCAGCAGCCCTTCTGCAGCTCTACAAACAACATGGCCAGATGAATAATTGCTATTTATCACACGAATGTTAAGATGGTGTGATTGGTTTTTTTTTTTAGCTTCTCTTGTTTTTTGTTTCAGAGCAGGAGGGAATACTTCCCGATAAAATGCTGAACTAAATTTGCAAAAAACTGAATTTGTGAAAAGCTCTTGGGTTGCAAGGATTTTGAGACATTTCAGCTGAGCTGAAGTTAGTGCCTCAGTGCTTAACTCCTGAAATCAAATGATAACATTTAAGCCTGTTAAAAGCATCCCCAGTAACTTTTCCACTACAAAAGTTCAGAGAGCTTCACATAGCGCTTCTCAGCAACTCTTTAAAATAGCTGCTTCTATGCTCCATAGATGTAATGTGACTCCCAGGAAAAAAAAATTTGTTTGCTCTAATGCAGCAATCCCCAACCTTTCCAGCTTGGTGGTCTGGCATGTGAGTGGCAGGCGCACGCGTACTCACAGCTCCACTCATGCAAATGCAGCTTCGTGCACAAGCGGAGAGTATTTTTGCTCATGTGCAAAGCTCCACTTGTGCGAGTGGAGGGCTCTTGAGCGAAGGGTGCTTGTGCATGCACGCGAGTGGAGGGCACTCACATGCAGAGTTTCATTCGCATGAATGGACCTCTGCACACAAGTGCACGCACCCTCCACTCACAGGAATGGACCTTCACGCATGAGCTCAAGTGCCTTCTGCTTGCACAAGTGGAGCTTCATACATGCGCAGTTGCCCATTTCTCCTGCAGCCCAGTTTCAAACAGACTACAGTCCAGTAGTGGGCTGCAGCCCAGGAGTTGGGGACCCCTACTCTAATGAGTTGCCAACAAGAGCTACATAAGTCTCCTTCGGATCCAAAAGTCCACACAGTTTTGATATATTTTTAAAAAAATGTTCCATTTCTCTTTCATTATGTGGGATCAGTCCCTGACTTCAGATTGATCAAGTTTAAAACAGTACAGGTAGTCCTTGATTTACAGCAGTTCGTTTAGTGACCATTCAAAATTACAACGGCACTGAAAAAAGTGACATGACAGCTTTTTACACTTATGACCGTTGCAGCATCTCCACGATCACATAATCAAAATTCAGATGCTTGGCAACTGGTTCACATTTATGATGGTTGCAATGTCCCTGGGTCATGTGATCATTTTTCGAGAACTTCTGACAAGCAAAGTCAACGGGGAAGCCAGATTCACTTAACCACTGTGTTACTAACTTAACTGTGGCTAGAAATGGGGCAAAATTCACTTAAAAAATGTCTCACTTAACAACATACATTTTGGGCTCAATTGTGGTCGCCAGTCGAGGACTACTTGTCTTGTACAAATATATTTCTACTTCCACAGCTTCCAGGCTCTTACTTTGTTAAGCCGGCTAATGAAAATAATGCCTGAAATTGGTGCAAGAATGGGTGTCCTTCAGTGGTGAAATGTAAAATTTGTTACTACCAGTTCTGTGGGCGTGGCTTGGTGGGGGGTAATGTGACTGGGTGGGTGTGGTCAACTTTTTATTTATTTATTTAAAAGCATTTTTTCTACAACCTCCTTGGCCGAAGAGGTTGTAAAAAAATGCTTTTAAAAGGCTCTGACAATCCCAGCTGAGCCGGACAATCATCAGAGGCTTTTTTTTTTTTACTTTTAAAAGCCTTTTTTCGGCTGAAGAGGTTGTAGAAAAAATGCTTTTAAAAGTTAAAAAAAAAAGCCTCTGATGATCGCGCGGCTCAGCTGGGCATGAGGGGGGGGGGCAGGGATTTTTGCTATCGGTTTTCCAAACCACCAGTCGCCATCGCTACCGGATGGGGTGATCCAGTTCAAACTGGGAGCATTTCACCCCTGGTGTCCTTGCTTTGCGTGTGATGAAGTGCCTTAATCAAGAGCTGAAACTATCCAGTGCAACAAAATCCTTTCTGACTCACAAAAAGAAAGTCCTTTTTCTCCCGCCTTTCTTTTTCTACAGAGAGAAATGGCCACCAATCTATTTGGCTCCCTAACTTGGAGCCAATTGACATTAAGAAGCCCTGATCTTAAACTCATAGCGGAAAAGGCAATTTAAAATCAGGCTTCTCCAATCTGCAGCCGTGGACTGCGTGCAGTCCTCTGAATCCTTTTCTGCAGCCTGCAGCAACAGCTTTTGTAAGAGCTGAAGACACCACCTCACAAGATCAAAGCCCTGAGCGCTGCACCAACATGCAGACTTGGTCACCAGAAACACTCAGAGCAGCCTCACCACTTTCCTCAACTAAGCCAAGCAGACTTCCTGAAGCAGTTTGGACTGCCATGAACTTGGTGCCCCAATTTCTCCTTTGCCCAGCAGTGCTAGCCTTTGCAAACTTCTGCCCCCTCTCATACTCTGGTGGGCACTGATTTGGAGGCAGGACTGAAGGCTCTCTGAATGTCTGAATGAGCGAGGGTTACTTGACAAGGAAAGAGAGGCTAGAATGTGGCTCTGGGGTTGTCTTCTACCAGGACAAGATCAGGAAAGACAGCAAGTATACAAGCAAGCAAGATCTTTCTGCTAGGGGCAGGCAGGCAGGCAGGCAGGCAGGGAAAGGAGGGAGAGAGCGAGGGAGGGAGGGAGGGAGGGAGGGAGGGAGGAAGGAAGGAAGGAAGGAAGGAAGGAAGGAAGGAAGGAAGGAAGGAAGGAAGGAAGGAAGGAAGGAAGGAAGGCTTTGCTTCAGAAGGGGGAGAAGAGAGGGAAGCAAACCTGAGATGAGTTTCCTGGATTATAACATTGTAGATAAGATCTTGGAAAAATATTACGTATCAGCTTAATAATAATGTTAAATACGAGTCTTCTGATTAATGCAAAATCTGCCAGCTAAGTGACCAAAATGAAATAGATTAAATTGATTAAATGTATGATTAATGACCTTCAGTGCTGTGATGATCTTCGTTTTCTTAATTTTTGACTCAGTAGAGACTTTTGAATAGATTGACATCCATGGAGAGTGGTTGCCCTGAAATCAGAGGGTTAGCAATTTTCTTTCCTTCTTTGAGTTCAGCACAGCTGGAAATATGATTTCAAAATGAAAATTAGTCAAAGCATTCAGTTCTCTTCTTTTCCCTTCCAGCACTCTTTTTTCTACTGAAGATTTCAATCTCTATGGTTCCTTTAGGTAAGTCATCGGGAAGGAACTACATATAATTAACGTACTTTGAACTTTAATGGCTGTCCCATTAGGGTAGGGATTGTGAGCAATGGTGACTAAATTTGATGTAAGATAGTGGATGTGTAGAGGCTTATCTATAGCACAGTCATTTCAGATTTATGAGTTTGGTGGAAATATATGCTATTAACGAGTTCCTACTGATGGCACAACATTGCCACACAAAGAAAAACCCCTCCACCGATGAAATGACAGGGTAGAAGGAAACCCTTTGCTATCTTTCTTGTTTGTTTTGTTTTTGTCAACTGCTTTATATCTTGTGATTTTAGAGGGTGTGGTAGAAGAAGGGAGGGGGATGCTTGTCCTACATTCAACCACACGGAGAGACTTGGGATTCCCAACTTTGAACAGAGGTGGCTTTGGAGGAGATTAGGGAAAGAGAAAGGAATCTGTCATTTTATGGTTCCTAGAACTCAGTTTTACAAGACTAGAACTGTATCCAAGAGAACCAGCCATCAACTGCCTCAACAGGACTATTCTTTAATGATCAGCAAGTTAGTCACATGAAGTCTGCAAACACTGGGAAACTGGATGGATCATGGTTTTGGTCCAAGAATACTGTAGACTGAATCAAGAGACTGCATGCATCTGCTGTCCTTTCACCAACTAGAAGATGTACAAAAAAGAGGATGCCCAAACCTTCAAGCTTTTCTCCAGCTGTGGAGGAAGCAGAACATTGGAGATTGTTGATTCTGCTACAGCTTTGGTGACCTTTTCTTGGAGGGTGGTCCTTGGACACAAATAGCAGAAAACAAAACAAAAAAAAACCCATTTTGCTTCGGTAGCACTGGGAGCTCGGAGGGAAAGATCCAGAGAGAGAGAGAGAGAGAGAGGGAGGGAGAGGGAGGGAGGGAGGGAGGGAGGGAGGGAGAGAGAGAGAGAGAGAGAGAGAGAGAGAGAGAGAGAGAGAGAGAGAGAGAGAATGAATTGGAAAATGAACTTTGAAAGCCACCCTGCAATCTTTCTTTCAGCAATAGAATGCCGATGAAATATTAAGGAACTAGAAGAATTTGTCCTGGGGCACCTTAAAAGCAAAGAGATTTGTTTTCATATCCTTGCTGTCGAGCAAACCTTTCTGTTGCACAAGTAGAGTTGGGTTGGGCTACGTCTCGGTGCTTAGCATCCACCCTTTTCCTGTGGGTGGGAACCTCAAAAAAAAAAGTACTGGGAAGAAATGGAGAAGAGATTTGGCTACCCGGGCAGTTCTTGCCCATGCAGGTGTGCATAATGCGTAGGAATGCCAGACAGACCTGAGTCACAGGTAACCTCCCCTGCATACATGCAACACGCCTAATCACACCTGAGATAAAGAGAAAACTGCTTCTTTCCTACTTTACTTGCCTAACAGCTATAGGTGCTGCTACTAGGAACTCCTCCATTTACCCTGGAGAAAAGAAAAACAAGCCAGAGGGAGTTGTTTTAAAAAAAAACAAACGGCAACAGCAGCAGCAAAAAGGTGGAGGGAGTGAAAAGGTGTGAGACAATCCTGGATCAGAAGCAACCAGGAGACCTGAAGAGGTGGGTCAAATTGATGAGCTCTTCTTTCTTTCTTTCCTTCCTTCCTTCCTTCCTTCCTTCCTTCCTATATCAACTTTGCATCTGAAATAAAACTAGAGTGTGTGAAAGGGGGAGGAGAGGAAGAGCAAGGGGGAGTCAGGATAAGCCAACCTTACATTTGGAAATGAAACAGCAGTCAAGTCTCTGTGTGTGTGTCTCTTCCCCCAACACACACACACATGCACACAGCACACAGCACACACACACACACACACACACACCCCTTGCCACTGGAGGAAGTTCTTGCCTTGGTGTGTGTGTGGATGGCTGTTCTTTGGATTGTTGCACAGGATCTGGACTTTGAAATGGAATCAGCATGAATGAGGTTTGTGGCACAAAATTTTTATTCTTGGTCCCTGCATTTATTTTTGATTATTTGTTTATTTATGTTACTTGTTTAAAGAGACAACTAATGATTAATCAGAGAGAAAAGTGAAAAGAAACACAGGGCTTCTTGCACAGGTAAGCAAGCAGGCAAAACGGCTGAGGTAGCCCTGTGTTCTTTTCCACTTTAAAGTTAGACCGTAAGTTGTGTTCCCTCTTCTTTGCACGGTTGGAACTTGGCACAAGTTCTTGATCAGCCAGTTTGATGCAGCAGATCAGAGCATTCCCCCCACCTCCTCTTCGCTCTCTTGCTGGAGACTCCTTTTTATCTGAATTAACCAGGCTATTCATATAATTCCTTTGCGCCCACATACCCATGCAGTTTCTCTTTCTCTCTGTGTACATTCGCAGGGCACATTAGGAAATTACAGGGAAGATGGCTATCAACAATAATGTGTTCTTCTCAAACAGAGGAAGGTGAACTTTTCCTGAGTGAGAACGTTGACATTTCCCTCCCACAATATCCCTGTGTTGTTAACAACTTCGTAACAGGCAGACATTGGGCAGTAAACTTGATCTTGTCATGGCAGTATAGTGAAGAACAGTTTTCCTTAACTAATTAATTTCAACCTGTCGTGCCATTTGTAAATTTGTTAAAAGTGGAGAAGAATGGGGGAGAGAGGGAGGATTATAGTAACTCTCCTAGCAGTTAGAAGATAGCAGCTGGGTATTTTTAATATGTTATCAATGTTTAGGGCTCTAAGCACAGATTCACATACCATTTTTATTTCTCCTAAGCCCCGTTCTGACTTGATTGTTGTTTAATTGAGAATCACATAATCTGTATAATTGAAAATAATGTACTTGTCCTGATTTCAGATGTTAATGTCTTTAGGAAAGAATGTGTGAGAATGTGTGAGAATGAAGAAACTAGGTAGATTAACGATGTGCATGAGATTTAAGATAAATTGGATGGATTGTTTGATTGCTTGAGAAGTAGTTTAAAATAGGTAAAGCAGCAGATCTGGAAGAAGGGCAGATAGAAGTGAGGTTATAGGATGGTGGACAGAGATGATGTTGGTCTGCATACAAGGAAGTCACTAAAGATCAGCTTCAAACCTCTAGTCAGTTCTAGAGCTTAAGTATGAAATGGGTCCCTGAGAATTAAAAAGTGAAGTTAAGAACATATGCATGGTATATTTCTCTTTACCGCTAAACTCACTTTCAGGTTAGAGAGACATTTTGGATTTTAGCTGAGGAAGGATTCAGGTAGCTCTAAATATTTGTTCTTGTTTGCAGTATTAGATGTCATTTTTTCTCTAATGGAAAGACTATCAATGTGTTGTCTACAATGCCAATTGATTATATCTCTATAATCTCTATTGTTGTGGCTACTGTTGGAAAACAGTAGCCACAGCAATAGGTCACATTTCGGATCTCCAAGAAGTGTTCCTGGGTTCTCCCCAATATAAAAGTTGTCAAAATATCATAAATTTGGGTAATTTGGGAAGGAGGGAATATCCCAGCCACAGAAAGACAAGACCCAACTAGATTGCTGACTTCTTTACAGTTTAGCAATACAAGACAAATCAATATGATGTTTCTGATAAAGAAAAGAGCGGTTTGGTTTTTACTGTGTATAATTAGGGCATAGCATCTTTTCTTTTTACAACGGCCATACTTAAAATATTATCTGTGATGTGTCATCTGTGACAACAGAGGAATGCAACAAAGGAAACAAGAGTTACCTCGTGTCTCTAATTGATACCTGCTTATTATGCAAGCTTGAGTTCTAGCATTTCCCTCTGTCCGTTAAATACTAGATCAAGCTGAAATGCAGTCATAACAAAATCTGCAAAAAAAATTGTTTTAGAAAATATGTAATTTTTGGCTTTATTAATGATGAGAAGGTTGGTCATGGAAGCCTATTCATTAGCTAAAAGGAAGGAAAATGAGAATAGTCAAATGGAAAGACTGGGGAACTGTGCTTTTATTGCTTTGTAGACAATAGAGATATCTCTATCAGTGTTTCACCTTGTATAGTCTAATTTATGTTTGTTTTCAATATACTCCTCTGTGTGGGATCCTTGGTGCTCTCTGAGCTTGGTTGTTGTTGTTCTATCAATATTCTTCCACTTATTTTGGCCATGTAAGGTACTAGAGGGCCCATTCATGCCTCAAACTCAATGGAATTTGTAATTTATCAAAAGTGGTTATCTAAGTGAAGTAATATTCTGAAAGAGTGGCCATGGGAATTTGATGACAGGAAATCTGGAACAGCTCAAAATAATACATTTGGGATCTAATTTTTTTTGGGGGGGTATGCTTTGCATAAAGGTATGGGAGAAAGAAATTTATCACAAGTGTGTGTAAGACTGTCTTACCTAATATCACCCAATTCATGCTATAAAAGCACCTGGAAGAAGTTTGTCTGTAGTCCCTCTACTTAATTTCTTTTTCAGTGCAGTGACCATGAGCAGGGCCTTCCCAGTAGCAGCCTCTTCAGATTGTCAAACTGAGGACAGGCCTACTCACCCAGACTATTCAAGGTTATCTGCCTTTTAGATCACCTATCAGATTACCCATCCTTCCTATGTATTTATCATTTATATATTTATTGTTTCTAACCATTGTTGGTTTTCTGGTAGTTTTAAGAGTTGGTGTTGTTGCTATTTGTATAATTTGATGGATTGATGTTGCTTCTGTACTAAAAAAAATCTGTTTTGGTCTCCTCATGGTTACTAGTAGAGAATTGCATGCTTCATAGTCCACTGCCTTGTGTGCTTCATTTATATGCTGTCCAGAGTCATCTTCTGATGCAGTAAGGTCATTGTCATTGTAGAACATTTGTATAGAATTCTTGCATAGATGTCTTTTTCTGGAAATTATTTCCTTGAGGGTTGATTGATTGATTGATTCTGTTTTTCTGCCATTTGTAACATTGTCTCTATGTACGTCAGAAACCTTCATTTGCACCTTTCAAGTGGATTATCTCTTCTTTTTCAATTTCTCTTTTCAGCTGCAAATTTCTTTTTCTTCTCTCTTTCTCCCTCCCTCCCTCTGCTGTATAGTACTTCCTCCTTTGACGTGACTGTCCTATTACCCTCTGTTTCAAAAGCTGGTCTTTTCCCTTACATTTTCCATCTGGCAAAGCTTTTGATCTAAGAGTTGAAATGGCTTCAAATGTTGCCATAGGTGTGGCACCATCTTCTTGTGCCTTTTTTTTTTTTTTTTTTGCTCCTCTGAAAGAGAATTTTTGTAGAGTAACATGCTAAAGTTCAGTGTCTTTCTACATACTGGATAGTGGAATTGATTGGATTTAAGCAGAAACTTTAAGGAAGTAACAAAATAGGTAGGAGGTATCTTGCCCCATACCTGAAAACAGTCCAGCAAGTTATTTGGTGGATAAATGTTGAACAACTATATTCCATTCAACTTCCTGTCTTCTCATGGACTTACTTTCATTGTTTGTCCCTAACAGTGGCAAATGATGGAAGTGAAGCATGCATGAGAATAATGGAAATGCTTAGCAAATGGTTTAACACTGCAATAAGACAAATGCATGATATCCCCTTGTTTGTTTAATTTATTTATGAATAGGCACAAAATATTTGGTGCAGAGTTATTAGAGGAATGATGATTGGGGACACGAATGTGCATACACTTTAGTATGCAGATGTTACTACCTTGTTGTCTGAGAACCCAGAAGATTTGCAGCAAATATTAAATGAAAGAATGCAATCAATTCTGTAATATAGTTCTGAAAATTTATGTGGGAAAGATCAAGGTAGTTGTTTTTGACCGAGACAATTAAGTGAATAGCTGAGAACTATATACTGATGGCAAAAATTAGAGTAGGTAGATGCATTTGTATCATGGTATAATGTTTATTAAAGTTCAAATGGATGGAAACATTTGAAAATGATTAAATATTGATAGAAAAGTAGGGAATAATAGGAGGGTCTGTTGAGCGATGTTGGACTTCAGAGTTTAGTGATCATAGTCACATGGGATCTGAAACCCAACATTACTCAACAGATACCAACCATAGGTGATTCTATGGCATGCTTGGTGCTCTGAGCTTGGTTGTTTGCTTGCCAACATTTCTTTACCCAACTAGGTAATAGCATCAGCACTAGTAACTGTGGGGTTTGCTTCCTGTTTATGTACAGTAATTTGTCCTGCCAGTGTATTTTGTTGGAGGTGTGGTTATCTAAGGAGAAAGCTATGGAGAGAGATAGTGAATGGGAGTGGTAATACTAAATTATTGCATTTCTTTTACTTTCCTCTTATTTCAAATTTTAAATTTATTTGACTTATTACTCATTCCTTTCCTACCCTTTGCATATTATTGCTTACCCTAAAAGAGAATAATGTGATAGGTACATATGTGGATAAAAGCTTACCAGAGGTGGATTTCAGCAGGTTCTGACCAGTTCTGGAGAACCAGTAGCGGAAATTTTGTGTAGTTCGGAGAACCAGTAGTAAAAATTCTGACTGGTCCCACCCCCATTTATTCTCTGCTTCCCAAGTCCCAGCTGATCAGGAGGAAATGGGGATTTTGCAGTAACCTTCTCCTGGAGTGGGATGGGAATGGAGATTTTACAGTTTCCTTCCCCTGCTACGCCCACCAAGCC